AGACTGGCCATATTTTCACCGACCACGTCTACAGTGACGTCATCTAGACTGGTCATATTTGCACCGACCACGTCTACAGTGACGTCATCTAGACTGGTCATATTTGCACCGACCACGTCTACAGTGACGTCATCTAGACTGGTCATATTTGCACCGACCACGTATACACCGACGTCATCTAGACTGGTTATATTTGCACCGACCACGTCTACGGTGACGTCATCTAGAATGGCCATACATACACTGACCACGCCTACACTGACCACGCCTACACTGCCCGTCACATCCCCCTACACGTGTTACGGTCAGTGGCTTTGTCGTGCGTACCTCTGTCGTTCTTTTCGAATCCTCGCATCAGGAAGGGTCTGCCGAGCTGGGAGCCGAGTAATGCCGACAGAGCGATGCTCTTTAAGATGCGCGTGACGGACGAGAGCACACCCACGATGCAGTTGATGAAGAAGAGAGCAAAGTCGACGATGTAGAACACTCTCCTGCAGCGGGGTGAGGAGGTTCTCGTGTTAAAGTCACGTATGTTTTCTAAACTATTCGTTTCATCAAGTGATCGTTTTAATCAACTGAGAACGCGGGTAAAGAATTCTAGGCTGGAAGGCTCGTTATTCTTGCACATTAACTTGAATTTCGCTTTATGATCATTCGCTATCAAAATGGAGAGAAAGGGCTGAGCTAGTTATCGCTGAAATGCAGTCCATGTACAGTCCTCGTTAATGAAAATATTTGAGTTTAACGAGTCTCGACGTTACATTCAGAGTTCGCCGATCTAAGCCCAGCATTGACATATTTCACGTCGCTGCAGTACATGCATTTGATTTATATATTATTAGATGTGTTCGGATGCAACCGGAAGCAAATTTGAAAATCGGTTGGTCGAAATTGTTTATAATGATTAAAACAATCATTATAAATTGGGGGGGGGGCAAAGAATGATCGATCAATATTATGCAATGGTGATTGTAATGACGCCGGATTCTTATTTCTAAACGTACATTATACATTGTGAGAGAGAATGCGTGCATGGGTATATTATATTCGCCTCTAAATATTTAGCTGTAACGCGAGCTCCGTAGCAGCTCCAGCTGCCGTGATTGACTCACCTATTGTCAAGCGACACGTAATAATCTGGCTCAAACTCTTTTAATTTCTT